CCCACTCCAGTCAGTTCCTAATGAAACCACTGCAGCTGCTTGTTCCAAACAGAGGGATCTCCTGGCGGGTAGAGAACAGGAATGTTGCACTGCTGTGTTTCCAATGGGAAGAAACAATACAGGCATCATGTTGCCCTGAGCAGATGTTAGGAATTGTCTTTTCAGTGACTCTGCTGTTCCAACATGGAGTCTTCATCATTGTTTTTCATTCTCCCCATGAATGTAGACCGAATGTCCTGTCTGCTTTTGTAAAGGTGTAGGTTTGCACACAAGCAACCACACTTCTCTAATGTTCAAGGAGGCCCTGACCTCTCTGCAAGCTTCCATTGCAACCAGTGACACCAGTGTTTGCATTTCTGGGAATGCATGGCTGAGGTCAACCCACTGCTCAAACAGGAATGGTGCTGTTTCTTCCTCTCTCACTGTATTCCTCCAGAGCTTGTTAAGTCAGTATTCACTGTTTGGAGTTATTGTCTTTGTGTTGCCAATGCTTGAAACTTTCATGAAAAGCTTAACACCATCTTTCCCACCTCATCCTGGCTCCAAACGGTTATTAAATTCAGTGTGTTGATCCCCTGTGACATTTCTCTCCTTGTTATCAGAGTAGCTGAGACCCTTTGGCTGCCTTTGCTTTTGAGCTTCCTGAATGAACTTTGTCTTGCTTCCTTTTAAACCACCCAAAGACTGTCTCTGAAGCTGTCCTATAATTATTTTCATCTGTTTATTTTCTTTGATTTTTTTTCTCCTGCTGTATTCTTGTCTTCTGGAGCTATTTTTTGCTTTATATTCTGCCAGCTGTGATTTTGCTTGGCTGATGCTCTTGGCACCATTGCTGCCTTGCAGGGTTTCTGTAGAGAGAGGGGGCCTCTGCAGGTGGCCTGTGGGCAAGCTGCTGTGGCCAGGGGGATCAGCTCAATGCGTATCCCAAAGCCAGCACCTGGCTGGAAGGTCTAAGCCAGGTATTTCTTATCGAGTGAGGAATGCTTTGTGTGACTGCACATGTGCCAGGGATGATTTGACACCCAAGTACTTTGTGAACAGTGAAACTTCCAGATAGTTTCCTCTGTTTCCTGTTTGAAACTGTTTCAGCACAGAAATTCCTCATTGAAAGTCATTCTCTATCACAGGGCCATAAAATACTGTGCCTTGTGTTTTATATTCTGTCTGGCTTTGAAGTATCTGGTGCTAAAATCTGTGTGTGAACCACTCTGTCATGCTATTAGAAGGCACCTACATTTATAGGTGTGACTTCGTTTCTAAAAATGTTGACTATTTTATTAAAAAGAATTTATTTGGGTGTGTGGCTTAAAACAACAATAAAGACATATCCTGTCTCTAAAAGGTAAGTGTTATTGAATGTTCAGGAATGTGTTTAATATACAGATACAAATTAAAAATTCAGTCCCTGAGTGCTGTAATAAAAGAAGTTAGGACTAAAATAGTGATAGGCCTGTGAGTTTTGTTATATCATTGCAGAAATTTCTGTGCATAGAAGACCTGGATTATCTGAAACTGGCTGTCCCAAAACTGCCAGGGCTCCTGCTCCCTAGTCCGTAGGAGCCAGGGAAGTGAGGATCAGTTCCCTCTGCTGGCTCAAGCATTGCCTGCCAAAGGAACTCCCAAAACTGAGTGATGCTCCAACGTAGCTGCTCCAGCAAGATGCCTTACAGCTGCGTGATTTCACTTTAATTGGTCCTATCTGTTTTATTTCTGATGTCTGTCTTCCCTCTCCTTTAAATCACAATTATTTTCCCCCTGAAGGCTGTGTTGAAAAAGTGACAGTATTTTAGTTCCCTCAGTATCTCTTGCAACCTTTGGACACTTGTATGTAAATTTAAGCTTGATTGTGACCCTGACAGCCAGCAAAGGAAATGTCTTGCAGAGCAGCTTGGGTTCCTTGCTGCCAGCTCCTCGGCCCAGGCTGTGCCCACCCGAGCAGTGGTGCTGCATCCTGGACTGCTTCTTGGTTCAGAGCTTGGTTTGAACTGCTCCATGGAATAACCTGTGCCTCAACATGTGCCATTCTGTGATTCCAGAGACCAGCTGGCCTGGCACGCTATCAGAGCATGCAGAGGCTCCTTTTTGTCTGGAAGAACAAGAAATGGGGAATATTGATCTTCTGAAAGACATTCATTGCTCATTTTTTTTGATTCCTGTTTCACCTCTCAAGGTGAAGATGACATGGCAGGACAAAGTAATGGCTTGGAGGGCTGTCTAGGGCTTGTGGGGCCATCTGTTTTGCAGGCCTGGTATTAATTCCCTGCATATGTGTTGTTGCTCTACAATCTGTTTGTACAGTATGTGCAGGTTCAGAAGAAATGTGCAGCAAGCAGAAGAAATGCATTTATCTTCTGCTGGCAGAGACAGCAGCCCTGCAGAACTGACTTAAAATATAGCTGTTTGCTTATGGGATAGATAGAAATATCTCTTCTCTGGTTGTTAAGTGACTTCTCTGAATGTCACTTGCTTTTTACAATTAACTTCTTACAAAATACCTTAATGAAACCTTCGTGGCATTTTTAACTCCCAGCACAACTTACTGGGTTGATGTTAGTTGTCTGTAACAATAATGGCAAATATTATTGCCATTCAGGAACTACCTTTTAGATGTGCAGACATAAAAGCTTGACTCCACCAAAATTTATGGGCATGTTGCCATTACCTTGAGCAGACTAGCATTTCCTCCTTGGATGTTGGCTCCTGATCCTGGGAATGCTCAAGAGACAGCCTTGTTTGCGTTTCATATGTGTCTGTTGGCATGAGCTCCTTGGGCTGGAATCACTGTGCTGGTGGAGCATCTCTTGGAGGTTTCATACTGAAGTATTAGTCCAGATGAGTAATTTAACACAGATTGTATTTAGAATTTCGGAAGACCACCCCTTATTTCTAACTTTGTCTTTAATTTAGGTGTTAATGCTGGGATTGCTGAAATAGACTGTTGAAATCAAATGTGACTTGAGCCTGCATGGTGACAGTGCAGACAGATCTTGGTCTTGCTTTTAACTTAATGCCTGGTAATTTCCTTATGTTAGCAAGGCATGCTGGAGGAGGAACCATGGTGCTGGCAGCTGGCCTTGAGACATCTTGGGGAGGGTGGAGAAGATTTGGTGAAGGATTGGCATTTGAAGTTCACCCCCTGAAAAGACCAGGGTGCCTTTTGGGATAGGCATCAGTTAAGTTTTTGCTTGGTGGGTAATACTGAGAACAGATACAGAGATGAGCTGAGTGGTGCTGTAGAGGCACATAAAACATTGCTCTGCTTTTCAGCTGGCTCCTCCTGGGATGTGCTGCTCAGGTACTTCAGTGTGGTGGCTGTGTTTGGCCTCCACCCCTAAGTGGGCACATGGTGACAGTCATGGGGTGGCTAAGTACCGCGAGCTCTTGTCCTGGCTGCAGCACTGGCTCAGCCCTGTGACCAGCCTCAGCTGTGACCCCGCTGTGGTGGCTGCTGTGCTGTGAGATGTTCAGGAGATGCCCCTCCTCTAGAGGTGCTTGGTACCTTCTGTAGGCACCCTGCCAGAGGCAGGTTTGGCACAACACTCACATGTACAGCCATACTGCATTGCCCTGTGCCTACATCCTGATGGGCTGCCTCTCCTTCCCAAGGCACAGGTCTGTTGCTCCCTGTGCACCAGGCATTTCCACGCTGGTGCCATGGCTGTGATCAAGGTGTCCTCCACTGCTGTGTTGAACAGCTCCTGCTGGGCCATTTGCACCAGCTTTTACCCTTGCCAGAAGGAAAAAAACTGAAGACAATCTTTCACTTGTGGTTGAGTCTGTCTTTTTTTGTGGCTGCTGAAACAGCCTCCAACCAGAGTGGTTTTCAGGATGTTGCTGGAAGGAATGGAATGGAAAATCATGGGGGTGTATCACATGGCACAGGTTCAGGAATTGTCTGGCACCTCTTACTTTAATGTGATGAGCTTTGCTGCATTCGTTATCCTCCTGGTGACTCCATGCATTGGGCATTTGGGAGAAAAGGGTGTTACTTTGGTAAATAACATTTACCACGCGTGTGAAATATCCTTATTTTCCGTCTAACCTTTTGTGGGAATGGCAGCACTATTAGTTTCTGACTAAGTACTTCTTGATTCTTGCTTTCTGTCCTGATTTCTTCAATGATGTTTTCAACTGTTACACAGTTGTCTTTTTGCACCCAACCATGTTTTGAATAACTTATATGCCTATAAAATCCCTGTGAATAGCTTTATTCTTGATACCAGTACATTTGACAGCTGTCGCGAACAATGCCAGTTCTTCCTGAAGGACAGGACTGGAACTGACATATACTGTCCTTTCTATTCTCTATACCTGGTTCAAATCTAGGAAATGTTCCTTTTTGTATATGATAATAAGATTCAGTTTAATTTGTTTTTAGTGACTAAGTTCAGGCATTTCTTTTCCTCCCAAGAAGGTTTGTACCTGCAAGAATCTGCTCTGGTAATGTGAAGATGAAATTAGTTAAGTCTAAACATTATAAGAAAGGGGAGAACATACTATAGCTGTCAACTAGTTATTTGTTAACTGTATTATTTTAGACACTAAGGAGTGCTTTACTGATTTTGTAATTAACAATTTCTTCATGTCACACTCATGATGTTAGCTGTAAGTTTAAATGAATCTGCTGTCTTCAATTACATGTAAGCTGCATATCAGTTTGCTGCCCTTAATAGCAAGGACATTCTGTAATTGAGGTATTCTGCACTGTGACAGACAATTTCATATAAATAGGATTTTATATACCACCATCATTTATAGTATTGAGGGATCAGTGGTCCATGAAATCAGATCTTTGTGGCTATTCCTGGTATATTAGCATTACCTAATTTTCTGTGACAAACTTGGGGAATACAATATGGTAGAGGATTTTGGTTGCCTTTGTTCAGCTGGAAATGACCTTCATTATGTGTTAAGCTGACATACTGCAAGACATTCTGTCCTGGTTGCCTAGATGTACAAATAAAGATGATAAAGTGACAGCTGCCTGTTTTTCTAGATGGACAGGTACTTATTCAGAAGGAGAATGAGAAACCCAGTGTTCAGCAGGATCAGTGAAAATTCCTGTCTACTGAATTCCACATTATTGAAGTGAAAAGGTACATGTTTAGGTTGGGTACTTTTAGCAAGCTAGTTTTAAAAGAACTGTAAGCAGATTTGTGCATATACTGAGCAGTAATAATTTTATGTTTTGTAGTACTCTGTACAAAACTGAAATATAGCATATGAGTACCTCATATGACAGCTAATGTTATCTTTAAGAATGAAGAGTACTGTAAACAGCATATGCACTTACATGAAATATTGGTAAGCTGAGAGTAAACTCTTTCCTAAGTGATCCAGTTTAAGAGGTACAGCTCTCAAGTGTAATGTTGTGTTGTGCTTCTGCTGCAAATGGAAAAGATTTTGAAGCTGCTTTCAAAATGCAGTGTTTAATATGACACTATGTATGTCAAAATACATCTGGAGTAATGCCAGGACTAGTGCAACAAAAGGTAAAATAGATACAGAGACTGGAAATTTTCTACAGAGAACAATCGTGTGAGCAAGTTGTCACACATCAAAATAAGAATAGAAGCTTAAGCTTGCCTTCTTTCAAAGGTTGTATTGTATTTCTGATTTGGAAAACAATATTACAACATCTTAACTCTTACATGAGCTGTCTCACTAGCTCCTATTGCTTTTGTGCCTGTTGGTAAAACCTTTGCTTCTTCCCTAAAACGTGACATTACGAAGGTTTTACTGCTTTCTTTAGGCCCCAGAAAAATGCAGTGGAAAGTCTTAGACTAACTCAGTGTTCATCACTAAACTGCTGACCAGAAATGGGTCCAGGCCTTGCTTCCCTACCCACTGCCACCAATTCTCCCTGCCCTCTCTTGAGAGGAACCACCCCGTTATTTCTAGTCAGTGGGACATTTCCACCAGCAGCCCAAGAAGCTCAGGAGTGGAACAGACCTTGCTGAAATAACGATGTGTGAGGTTAAGAGCTGCAGACGTTTATTCTCAAATGTGTTGTTCAAAGCAAACAGTGTTGGGAAGACAGAAAGGGATTGTGTTCGAGGAGCAAGGTTGACTTCTGTGCTTTCTTACAAGATAGCTTATGTGGGTAGGTTTCGGAAATTTTCCATACAAAGGGAAACAAACTATGTGGGCAGTAGTCAGGGCCCCAAAGATAAGGCAGCCTAACAGTGTTTGTGCCATGATTTCTTTTGCTGTGCCTCATTAATAATGAAAGAACTGAATGATATAATGTGGGCTAATATCTGGCAGGAGAAGCATTGGCCTGGATTTGACATTAAGTTGGTGAAAGTGAGACTCAGCTTCACCCCACTCATTGTTGTTCCAGTTGAATTGAAAACTACTTTTACTGTGTCCTGCTGTCTCCTCTTCTGTCAATCAGATGGGAGTCATAAACACAAAATGTTCAAGTGTTGAGCTTTTTTGTTGTGTCCTCTGTCTTCCCTGTTCTAAAGTATTGTGAGATCCCACCTTTGATCCGACTGATTGATCTCTGAGGATGTGATTAGTTTTGGCAGGTAGAAGCTAACCTCTGTCTTCTGGATTGAGGATGGAGACCAGTCTAGGTTTCAGGCATTGTTACAGAATTGTGATGGTGTAGCATAGCTTTCAAATACTCCAGTTGTTTTCAGTTGAGATAAATTCTTGAAACTACTGCTTTAGCTTGTAACAAATTTCAAATGTGTTCAAAGTGTGAGTTCTCCCTCCTAAAACTTCTCAACTTTCTCTTTTCCTTGTTCTATAGCATGTTCAGATGATGCTTACAAGATGAAGTTTGGAAAATGAGTGATGCTTTTAATCTGTGCAGAGGTGTTTCAGTCCTGTCTGCATTTTCTGTGTGCTCTTGCAGATCGAATTTTTCAAGTGATGAAGTCTCTAAGCTCAGGTAAAATGAGTTGGATGCTATAAACATCCTGCTTCCCTCCTTCCATGCCTTAATGATGATCTCATTCCTCTATGCAGTGAAATTTAGGATTGTTATAAACAGGAAACATTATCAAAACAAATTGTCTGCACCCATCCCTAGAACTTCAATCATATTTCAAGATCTTGCTTGAACAAAATAGACTATATCTGTGCAAGAGCATGGAGCTCTGATTATATCACTGTATTAAAAAAAGGGATTATAATAGTATGGGAGGAAATCGTGACTTTCACAAGAAAAACTGGAAGATACCTAGTTCTAAACTTGGCAGAGCTAGTTGGATAATTGAAGGTCTGGCAGGTCAATCTGTTCCATGCTGCAGTCTAACAATTATGTAATTAAAGCTGCTTCCTCCTTCTTTCTCCCAAATAAATTTGGCAAAATCAAGTTCTCTCTCTGGCATGGGGAATAGTGAAAGTTACTGACCTGGTGAACCCTTCAGAAGTAAGAGAGATACCGTCTTTGTGAGTCTCTCCTCCGGATTTATTAGGGCTCATGAAACAACAGTTATACTGCCCAATTATTGTTTATACTGAAGTGTGCTTGTAGGTTCATTTGCATGAGGCATAGAGATTAAAAAAAAACCCAGCACCAAAACACTATACCAAAAAAAAAAAAAAAAAATCCCCAACCAGCTTTCAGTAGCTTTTAAAAAGAGACATTAAGGCTAAATTGAAGCTACAAATGTATTTTAACTTTCTAAAGTAGTTTGCATGTCTGCAGATATCTTCTACCTGGGGAAAGTGACTCCAGCTGGCTCCTAAGAAGGCTGTCCCTTCTGTACCTGGATGGACTTCAAGCCTGCATAGCCATTGCCTTCAGTGGGATTGTGGGGTTGGTGGTTGAAGTTCTACTACCTTTACACCCTTTGTTTATTATGTAGCTGCACTGTAGGCCATGGGGAAACCTCTGTGTTGTTCTCTCTACCCGTTTATATGATGCTTTACTGATGCATTTCTGCACACACCTATTTGTCTGGTCCTTTTTGAGCCAAGCAAGAGCGCAACCAGTACAAGCAGCTAATCTTACAGTGTGGAAGCTTGGGAGCAGTGAGAGGTGATGATGCAGAGAGGAGATGATGAGCCACAATGGGAGAAGGTGGAGGCTGCTGACCAAAAGCTGGGGCAGGGTCTGCTGCAGACATTAAAGCTGTTAATTTGTTTTCACCTTGATTGTTTGGAGGTTGCTGTTGTTAAGCTGCCTGGCTGGTGTGGCTGGAAGCTCTGCTGGTTTGTTTTCTTGAAGGACGAGCAAGAAACCCATAGGTAAACCAGAAACCTCAGTTTGTTACTTCCCAATATTTTTTTTTCCTTTGCTTGGCCTTGTGCTAGAGACTTTTGGGGTTACTTGAGCGGAAAGGTAGAGGAGCAGGATTGGTCTGGGAGAGCTAATAGATGCACACAGGGTAAGTGGTGCTGAATGCAGGGTGCTGGTGTGCCCTGCCCTTGCTGCTCACCTCGGCTGTAATTACAGCAGGAGATGTCCCAGCAGAGGAAGTTGTTTGTAACCCTGGTGCTGCCTTTCGGTGCTACTGGGTTGTTACTCATCCAGGCTGTTGGAGATCCAGTATGGCAGGGAACTCAGGAAGTCCTGGAGTCTGGAAGCAGGCAAAGGAGGCATCCAGCCAAACCAGGTGGTTTGCATTTCTGTCACTGCTTTTCAGAGCAAGCTGGTTATTAAAGCTATCCCAGACAAAATAGCACAGTTCCTCTTTTTCTCCTGGTGCATCCCAATGAAGTATTCATTCACGTTAGTCATGCCATTCTCTGAAATCTTTATATGTGCATAAGCAAGGCTTGACTTGTCATTGAAGTTTAGCAGGTGCATAGATATTAAAAGTTCTGTGTCTTCTGTAATTTTTTCCTGATGTAGCAATTTGGCCTTTACCAATAGCCTTAGGTTTAAACGGCACAGGATATAAAACGAGTTAGTTATGCTGCTATGCTTGTTTAAGAATAATTGTAAAAAGTGCCTTTGGGTTTCCAGGAACACACATTAACAGAAGTTGCATTTCAGTGGCTTTGCATGGTACCTGGCTTTCACAGCGGTTCAGCTGCTATTCTCAGAAAAAAAATGCCCAAAAACCACTTTAGTGGGAGATTGATGGAAATGCAGTGAATTTTGCTAGTGTTTGGATTTCCCTGCATCAGCCTCAGGAGAATTTGATGCTGTGTGTCTGCAGAAGGAATATTGGTCAGGGAGCCTTGCCATCTTTAAAAAGGCACATAAAACCTGAGTCTGCCCTGAGGGGAGGGTAGCCCTAAGGACCAGTCTGTGGATCTTGCCCTGTAACCAGTGGGGGCTGGGAGTGTCTGGTACAGAACTGGCTGCTCTGTGACTGAGGAGGGAGTCTGAGTGCCCAAAACACCCACAGAGCTGCTCCTCCCTGCCTGTTCAACAGCACCACTGACACACTCTGGCACAGCCCAAGCTAGTTTTTCTGGCATGGTCATGATATGTTATGCCAGTGATGTAGTGAAACTATAATATGTAATTTTACCTTGAATACTGTATATACACCCTGTGCTATACTGTCCTTGCTCTGTTGTGATGCAGTAGCCATGCAGAATGATGGGATCCCTAACCCAGTGGGATGGCAGAACAAAATCTGTTGCTTCGAATACTTGTTGCTGCAAAACCATACTTTTTACACAGGAGAAGGTTGTATGTGATTTTTATTTTACCATAAGGTATTTATTTGTAATAGTTGACTGCAGCTGTCTTTTCCAGTTGTCTTTGCAGTTTGAGTATCAGAAGGATAAGATACTCAGCTGAAATGTATTTCACCTATTGACTGATCAAATTTGAATACCAGAGAGTGTTAATAAAGCTTAAACAATGCCATAGGTATGGTAAACACAGTTTGCTTGTTTTAACAGAAACACACAGTTTTCTGGTTCAATTGCCTTTTTCTGCCACTCAGGACATGACAGTGCTTTATACCTCAGACTCTCCCTTCAGCCATCCTTGCCCTTTGTTGTGTGACACCAAGTCCCAGAAGAGGCTTGGCAGAAGAAACCCCAAATAGCCTGTCCCCAGCAAACTGCCCCTGCTCTTTCCTGCAAAAGCCCATGTGGATTAAAGAGCCTAAGAAGCATCTGATGGTATTGGATCCACTTCTAATCCCTTCTTCCACTCCTAGTAGGTGTCAAGTTCTGAAACTGTGAGAAAGGTACAAGGATGCTGAAAAAACACAGATGGTGTATGATCTTCCCATCCACTAAAGTTTTCTCATATGCTCCAATTGTTTGAGTTAGTTTAAGGCCTGAAATCTAGCTTTGGAGATATTTTTGGAAATATGTTTATGGTATATATAACATACATATGTGTGTATATAAAATATATGTACATGTTTAAAGTGTTGCATGTGTTATTGGTAAAGTTTTGACTTTAGATACAGCAAATTTCTTGACCTAAGGAAACACAGTGAAAGGATCCCAGTAATTGCTGGCAGTTTTCAAAACTGTCTGCCTCTGTCCATGTTGAAAGAGAAGCTGAGTTGTCCACCCCAGCAGAAAGTTACAGGGTAAATTCTGCTTGGGATAATTCCTTAGTGACTAAGAAACTCATAATTGGCTCTGTGTGGGCAGAGGATCTGTCTGTGGTGAGGCGAGAGCAGTGCAGCAGACATGGAAAGTGTATGGGATTGCCGAGGTGGGATACGGCGTTTGTACAACTGCTCTGTGCTCTGCTGTGTTAATTGTTGCCCTTCAGAAGCCCTGTCCAGTTTTTTGATCCTCCTTCATTGTGCCAGGAGGAGGAGGGTCATACTGTGGATGTTAAAGGTTAACATACTTCCTTCAGAAACAGATACTTCATTGTTTCCTTCCTAATAATGCAACTCCAAATTTTGCAGTTTAAACTTCTTTGTCGTAATTACCTAATGTTGTCATTCTTGAGGCTACTTTGTTGTTAATGACTAGTTTGATACTGTTTTATTTCAGTATTTTAAGCTGAGATGTTGCCCTCGCAGCTGTTTGGTTTAAATACAAGAAATGACAAAAGAGTTCTGCCCATTCTCGTTTAAATGTCAGCTCCATTAATGTGGTCATTGCTGTTGTGATTGTAGTATTACAGGCCTTATAAATGCCTTAGCATTTATTAATATTTTTAAAATATTGATCCTTTTTTTAGTTGCAGAAGGGAAAAGGCATGACTTCCAGAAAAAAGTTGACTTCTTCATGCATGTTTACTTTCCTTTAACTCTGGAAAACTCAAACCTTTCATTTGAGACTTTGAAGATGTTTTCCATCTGCCTTATAAACTCAATGCTTGCTTCAAAGCACACATGCAATTTGTAGACTTGTATTGCCTAGGGAATTGTTGGGAGTCCTTGCTTGTTGTGTGGAGATGAATGCACACACAAGTTCAAATAACTCCTCTAACTTTCTTCTTTCACCAGAACAGAGTTGTGATTTTTTCTTTTTCCTGCAAACAGACCTGAGCTCTTACTTCTCCATCCCTTCCTTCTCTTCTGCCCTCCCCTCCTGATTCCTATTTCTCTTTAAAGTGCTAGTGAGTAAAGACACAGGGGTAAGTAAATGGCCACTACAGTTGCAATGGCATTAATCTTTCATCAGATAAAACCTCCTCATGCTGGTTGTCATGGTGAACACTCAGCTGCTCTCCCCAGCCGTGGAGCCGACGCTCCATCTCTCCTGCGCTGTGAAGGTCACTGGTGGCCAGAGGTGGCCTCGGCGGGTGCCCAGGGCTGTGGATAATCCTCCCCTGCTCTCCAAGCAGAGCTGCACAGCCTGTGCAGAAACAGGCAAAAACACCAAGCTGCTACCAAGCCTTTCTTCCAGAAGTTAATAGAAACCAGCTCAACCAGTGAGGTATTAGATATGTAATTCATTTTATAAGTATTTCCAGCTTCAGTTTAATAGGCAAGTGCTTATTAGTCAAAAAGTTTTCCAGTGCCTGAAGGAGCAATCTGAGCAAGCAGATTTTGAGGCGCTGAATGAAGCTCAGTTCCCAGGCATCAACTAAATGAAGCTGCCCAAGGATAGAGGTGAAGGAAGAGGGCGGTGGGGAGGGATTTCTTTCAATAAGCAAGGGATAAAACCCAAACATGTGCCATATTTCGGTTTCTGCCTGCCTTTTGGAGAGGGAAAGTATTCTGGTCTTTGTTTTGCTCTCCTGTGTTTTCTGATGTGATTTGGGAGAGCTGAAACTGAGAGCATGGCTCTGAGGCCACCTTCGGATGGCCGTGAGGCCTGGTCCATACAGTTGTGACATGGTGGGAGCTCAGCAGACCTGGCAGCCTGGCATGATTGTCCGGGCATTCCTTCTCAGGCTGGGCTTGTTCTGGGGTGGGGGCAGTGCTCTGTGCAGTGTGCACACACTTCCCACAGCTGCCGTCAGCCGCGGCCAAAGGGGGAGGAAGTGGAAAAAACCAACCCAGCAGTGTTTGCAATCCCTGGTTTGAAACACTGTCCCTGTCAGATCACACCCCGTTACTCACAGGGGAGTCGGATGCTCTCCGTTCTCGCCGTGGTGTCTCAGTGAAATGCAGAATCAGTTTGGGCTCTACCATAGAATGGATAACAGTCTCACAGCTCAGCTCTTCACAGTCCTCCTGTGACATGCAGTTGTCCTTCGGGCCCTTGGTTTCCCTGCTGTGCGGCAGGGATAGATAGGAATGTGCGGGAGATGTCATCGGGAGAGTCTGCAGACAGAGCTCAGAGCAGGAACTGGTGGAAACTCTACATAGCATGAGATTTTGCTACAGAAAAGCTTCAACTTTATGGGAAATGTGGCAAACATGGTTACATCTTGACACATCATTTCTTGTTGTATTGAAACTTTTACATTTTTTCCCAGAACTTGTTGCAAGACAACAAGATGCTGGTTTAGAGACTTACTTAAAATTACGGCTGGGATGTAAAAGCTCATGTGTGTGCGGGGAGAGGAAGAAGACCCAAGCACAAACCCAAGCACATTCATCTGCAAAGGCCACAGATTTGTGTTGTCTTAAACTGTTGTTTTTTGTGTTTAATTTGGAACATTGATTAATGCTTATTATTTAAGACAGGAATTCAAGGACTTACAAACTTTGAAGCAATGATTTTTTCCCTCAGATTTTATCTTGAAAAAACACAAAATAGATGTTTATTATGTGAAGACTTCATGGAATACTTTGAGAGTTGCTTTAAAGAAAATTAGTCTTTCTCCAGACAGCTTCATACTGTCAAATAGTCTCTCCTCATAGGCTGTGATAGTATCAAAGAGTGCTTTATTTTTGCCTGCTTCATGACCTCTGAAGGGAAGAAACAGAAGAACATTAACCTTTTCATATGTACATGTTTGAAATTATAAACTTAAAAATCCATGAATGTGCTTCTGTAAAAGTCTCTTCCCAGCTGGGTTCCCAGAGTCCAATTCATTTCACTGTTGTCTTTTGGTAGTGAAAAATGCTCTTGCTGTTTACAATGCATTTTTTGGCTAGTTGCCATTGCTTGCTGTTTATCAGAATGCCTGATATTTTTGGTAGAGGAAATACCCATGCTTTTTTGCTACATATAATCAAGTTAAGCATAGCTTAATTTACTACTTTTTTGCTTTGTTTTGTTTTATCTTTGTTAGTGGAGACCTACATTTGTTTGACGTGCTGGATCTGCTGAGGGAATTTGTGAACGTGTTTTTTACATTCCCCAGTAACTGTTTAGTGAGCTGGAATCTACCCTGGCATTACTCAATGAAATTTTAAATGCATGAACACTAAAAGAGAGACAGAGACTGAAATTCTCATATGATTTCAGTTTCTGAAGGAAAAAAGAACAAATGTATGTGATCAGGTGATGTAGTGGTAGGCCTCAATTTATTATAAAATTGGTTTAACGAGATTTCAAGTATAGATTACTTGGTGTGTAACATAATCTATATGCTCAAAATGTTTTTTCCTGAGTAGTGGTTGTTAACTTCTATCAAAAAACTCTTTCATCTGGAAAAATGAAGGATATCTTTTCACGTGTCTGAAGTAGGTTAGAGATCCAGACAGCAAATGGTGGCCTCTGTAAAGCAGACTGCCTGACTTAATTCTCTTGTTTTAAGTCTCTTGATAAATGTTGGTGTCTCTCATCCTTAAATATTTTATGGTTATCTAATATACGAGTCAAATCATGTATTTGTTCTAGACCTTCTTACAACTATGAGGGTTTTTAATAGGGCATCTACCATAAAAAAAATACTTGAAAAGCTACTTTTTGTACCTTTTCCTGGTCCATTTCTGTAGTTGGGATTGAAAGTAAGAAAGATTATGGTGTGTGAGAATATTTGCTAAAGACTCCAATGTCTGAAGAAAGCTCTGGTCTAAAGTTCTCTTCAAGCTGGACTGATATACAAGGGTCACTTTTAGGGGTTTGATGGTGTTCATATGGGTTTTGGATGTGAACCTGCCCTAAAATAACGTAAATGTTACCCTTGCAATTTGACACACACAGAGTTTGATTTCTTTTCTCACATCCTAGTATAGCATCATGACGTTTTTGGTATGGGACTACCTAACAAGTAGTTTGTGATGGAAATTCTCATCTTCCTCTTGCCACCCTTTAGATGATTTGTCGCCTCCTTCCTCCACCCAAGATGTTTTGCTAATATTTTGAAGCAAACAAATAATTTCAAGTAGATGTGACTGTGTTGCAGCATATCCTTCCTTTTATGCCAGCCAAGCTGCACTGGAAGGAAGAAACTTGAAGCTCTTCAGAAGAAAATAAAAGTCCTGGCTACAGCACATCTAATTTTTGTTTCAGGACCGAAATGGCTGCCTGTGAAAAGTGATTCCGTGCTCTCAAGCAAGAAGTGGTGGAGAAACATTTAGAAATGACTATGTCTTTCCTAACATTGTTCTCCAGCATAATGAAGTGATGGAGCCTTCACTTTGAAAATGGATGTTTTTTGTAACTTGAATGTTTTCTTCATGCAGATGAAGCTTAATGAGCAATTGAACTTCTGTAGAACCATATTTCCCATTTGTTGATTGAATTCTAACCTGACACTAACATATTGCTCTTCCCTGTGGCACAAAAGATTTCTGTTGTTCTCTAAGTCCTTTCTCCATCACCTCAGAATCAACAAGAAACTTGGTATTTCAACAAGAACTTTTGTTGTGTTTTTGATTTTTTTAGAATGAAATAAGTGAAACAGTTGTCAAGCAAGGGTCAATGATTTTGTCTCCCTTTTGAAAAAATGTCCTAGCTAGTTGTTCCTGCACAAAAGTCTGTGTAAACATAGTTTGCCTGATTATTATTTTTCATTTTATTTTGTAGAGAAAGCAATAGATTTTTCTTTCTTTTTTAGGGAAAACAGACAAACAAATACAGACAGGTTGTTGTATCGTGAATTAGGCTGTTACCGTGCCAGCTGGCATCCAAATACAAAGCACCACAAGAGCTTCTCCCAGCAGGACACACTCTTTATTCCCAGGAGAGGTGTGTGTGTCGTGGGACACGCAGGGTGGCAGGTGGCTCTTGCTCTGTTGCCTGTGTGGCATGTGCCTCTGTCCTAATGTAAGTCCCTGAGGGTGCTGTAAATGTCCCTGACAGCACTGCTCCTCTTGGCCATGTCTGAGGAAACAACTTGGATCTGGGCTGGGCTGTATCTGGCTACACAACATCCCTGTAGCTGAAATCATCTGAGTGTTGTGTGGCAGTTTACTGCTCACCTGTGGAATTGGAAATAGGTTTTTTTTTCTCCTTTTTACATGGAGGAAGCTGTGATTCATCCAGATGCTGATCTCCAT